GTGAAAACAAACCCTGGGATGTGGCTGGCAGCTGTGCTCTCCAGCAAAGACCACAGGATCTTTAACGATGAGGCTGTTGGGGCTTTAATCTCTTTTTCATTTCAGATCTAATTTCTAGTGGCCATGTCTACAACGTGGTGCTGGGGCACTGGCTTAGAAAGGACCTATGGAACAAAAAAAAGTGACTCACCAGCTCTGCTGCTCTCCAGTATATTAAGTTAATTAAAAAATCCCCAGCAATGATAGCTTCTGTCTCTGGACCTGGAGTGGCAGGTAAGCTTCAAACCATCCCTGCGTTCCTCATTTTCTAGTCCAGGTAGGGTCAGACCAGGCTCTCAGAAAATAAAAGTGGAGTGGAAATTGTAATTCTGTTTTAACAAATTCTATAACCAAAACCTTTGAAATTTGGGGATTTGGCATTTCTTTTTGCTGCGTTGGAGCGAAATGACAACTTTTTGCTGGTTTTCCTGGTGGAACTGTGGTGAAATTTCCACTTCTGGATGGGAAGCTTCATGTTTTTCATCTCTCTCTGTTACCCCTCTGCATGGAAGCAGCAATCCTTTCAGAGCCTGCATCAAAACTGGTTTTGTATTTTCAACAGAGAGGAAGAAAGACTGAATAAAATATTTTTGAGCCAGGTATAATTGATTTCAGCACTCACTTTTGCTGATCTCCTGTGAGTACCTTGCAAGCCCTTATAAGTACAAGGAGTTTCGTTTCCTGCCTCTCCCTAAATCCCTCTCTTGCTCCATCTCCCTGCCCGGCTTGTCGCCAGCGCGATGCCTGGCCGGGCTCCTCTCCCAGTGCCCTGCTGACACCGGCAGCTCCCTGCCCACAGTGCTCACGCGAGGCCTGGGGGGGGGAGACTTTCCCTGTTCCACCCATACTGAAAGTTGGGTCCTGCAACTTTCAGATCATTTATTAGATAGAAAAGCCAGATGTACGTGATGGCAGATGTCAGGTTTATCAGCTCACTTTGACGAGCGGCAAAGGGCTCTTGGCCAGATGTGCTTGCGCCGCAGGCACGGGCACGGTGTGCCACAAGCCCTGCAAACCGGTTTGGCTCCCGCCCTGGCACCGTGGCGGGGAAGGAGGAGCAGGAGGAGGGCTGGTGGCAGCGCCGGCGCTGCCGGTTGTTCCCTTTTATGGGCCGAAGTGGGTCCGACCTGATCCTTGGCGG